TAATAACAAAAAAATACATTTTTTATTATAATCAAATCATTTGAATAATTAAAAAATTTAAATTATTTACATTGTCGGCGATTGGCAAAACCCCAATTACTCCAATTATGTAATCCATGATTACAGTTTTCAACGGTGTTTTCCAAGTGGTTTTCCCAACCCCAAGAAATGTATTTATCAAGGATTATACCGCCTATTAGAAAGTGGGCTTTAAACCTAACTCAATCCCACGAAATCGGTTTGTAACAGAAATACCCACGTAGGACTCTATGATAGGTTGTAATCATGGCTCTAATACCATGTTAAGAAGTGGAGTTTAAGTCTAACTCAACTTCACAAAACTAGCTTGTAAGTTTGCACCCTACTTATATATTATAATTTGACTTTATCTCTAGTCAATGTGGGACTTCCAACACCGTCGGTAATGAAAAAAAACCATTAAAATGGTATATCTTTGTAGTGTATTGTGTACAACTCAAAATTTAATTTCTTCTACGACCACATTATATAAAAAAACATAAGAATAAGCTCACTGTTCTAAATCGCTAACATTTAATATTTACAAAGCTTTATCCATTATAAAACTAAAATACTCATATATATATATATATATATATGTATATGTATATATATGTATATGTATATATATGTATATGTATATATATGTATATGTATATATATGTATATGTATATATGGGGTTTGCTAACGCGTGTATGCTTATTTTTCAATTGGTACATTTTAGCAATGTGTACCGGATTTTAGTTGACAAAAATACCCTTATATATCATTAATTCTAAGTTTTAAGGTTAAGGGTATTGCAATAGTTTTCATTCTCAAAACTAAAAAATAGAAACCCCCAAACTCTTGCTCATCTCTCTCATTCCTCTCAACCCTTTCTCTTTCATATCTCACACTCCAACCTTTTCTCTCTCCTCCTTACTGTAGTCTCAATTGAAAAAATCAGTTAAACAATTTGCTTTTGTAAAGAGTTGAGTCATTGACATATTCACCTTCAGGCAAAGGTTCATTCAAGATCTCTTCAATTTCATCATCTTCACTAACCTCTCTAATTTCATCATCTACATATATTGAATTATCATCTCTAAAAAAACCCTCCAGGCCAATTACCAATTCCTTCGGATGTCATTATGCTTTAGATAAAGTTATATACCACAAAAATTATAAAATGAAAATTCATTATAAAATAAATTTTTTGTAAGAAATTGTTTAACAATGAGTGTTTCTGATTTTTTTTTCCAGGTCAATTACCAATTCTTTTGATGTCATTATGCTTGTGAAAATTAGATAAAATTAGATAAGACAAAAATTATAAAATGAAAACTCATTATAAAATCATTTTTTGTAAAAAATTGTTTAAAAGCGAGTATTTCTGATTTTCTCCAGGTCAATTACCAATTCCTTTATGCTTGTGAAAATTGGATAAAATTAGATAAGACAAAAATTATAAAATGAAAAACTCATTATAAAATCATTTTTTGTAAGATTGTTTAACCGTCAGTGTTTCTGATTTTTTCCAGTTGTGGCTACCATAGGATGACAAAGAAAATGTTGGAACGAGAGAGATGAAAGAGAAAGAGTTGAGAGGAATGAGGGATGTGAACAAGGGTTTAGGGGTTTCTTTTTTTAGTTTTGAGAATGAAAATTATTAAAATACCCTTAACCTTAAAACTTAGAATCTATGTTATATAAGGGTATTTTTGTCTACTAAAACCCAGTATATATTGCTAAAATGTACCAACTAAAAAACAGGCGTACGCGCGTTAGCAAACCCATATATATATATATATATATTTCACATGATCAATGAGAAAAGTTTTATTTAGGAAACAAATTTCTTGTAAAGTCCCTTCTTAAATAAAATATTATAAATGTAATAATCAATAAATAGAAGAAATAACTATATAACTATTGTATTACAATCATTCACATTGGTGTGTATTGAGTATAGAAAGTCATATATATACATAATAAAATTTTATCCAAAATATGTTACTGCATTGTCCTCATCCTACAAAGAATTAGTAATAATATATTCATCTGTTCACACAATTAAGGTGATAATTACAAATAAAAAGATAATACAAACAAATGAAAATATAAGCTAATGTACCAAAAAGAATAATATAACATATATAAATAATCATATCAACAAATCCTAACATATACAATTATTCATGCTATACTTGACCATCCAAATACATGTATTGATATGATTCTAACAAATCAACCCATAAACTAGAGACTCAAATCGTAATTCTCACTATAACATGTGACTTTTAATATATATATATATATATATATATATATATATAATTGGATTTGAGTTAATGGTTAATATACCAACTATATAAAAAAGTATACCATTGTATAAACATAAACTATTATGAATAGTCATTTTATATTAAAAAATGAATTAATGATAATTTACGCTAATTAACTGATATAAATGTAGATCAATTAAAGATTTGATTAAGTAAAAATTAATGGAGAAGATGGAAGAACGTGCAGGAAAAGGGCAAAGCTGGCCCATAAACAAAACAAAAACATCCAAATACACTTAATTTCACCCACTCAATAAGAAGTACGGCCAACTAAATTCATTGAAGTAGGCATCCGAGGATCTATTTGTGGTATTCATTCACTTAAAAGGTCAAAGTAAATTTAAGATTTGGGAAACATATGGCAGATATTAGCATGTGAATTTTATTAGCAACATAAATATGTCTTAACTTTAATATAAATTATAAAATTTTATAAGTAATGATAAAAAAATTAAAAATTTTACAGATTAAATAAATAGTAAGTAAAACTAAACAATATCTTATTCAATGAGGTGAAAAACATATTTTAAAATTTTATACTATTTTTAATAAGTTTAAAGAATAATGTGATAAAAAATAAATAGTATACTTTGATATCATTAAAGGAAAATTTGTTTTAACTTGAAATTTTCACATAGAAAGTATTCTTTGAGTTAAGATTTATTTGGTCTTGTTACAATTTATCTGTAAAAGTATTTAGATGATTTAAAAAAAGAAATAAAATATAAAATATAAACCAAAACAACGAATCCATAAATCCATGTAAGGACCAGTCCATTGTTTTGTGTTAATTCAATTGTACAAATATAATTACACTTTGATCGAATAGCTTGTAAAGAAAAAAAAAGTAATGGATATTGATTCAAGACAAACTTTATGTTCACTTTAACTATGGACGAAAAATGAAGAAAACAAAAACTGTTTTATGTAAAAACTAAAACATTTTTATTTATATCACACTAGACATGAATAAATAAAAAAATAATGTCGAAAAGAATAAATTAATAAAAAATGGTGAAAATCTAAGCTAGAGGCAGCATTAATTAATATTTACAGAAAAGCATCCATTAGACATGTTGGAGGTGCTAAGTGAAGGGTCATTATTATTGCAAGTAGGACTGAGTGGTCCCACCACGTTCTCTTCCATAAAGAGATCCAAGTTTTTCATAGATAATTATTAAATGTTTATGATGGTTTTGTTGGATACAAACAAAATTTTATATAATGTTTATGATGGTTTTGTTACAACAAAGTTTTATATAATGTTTATGATGGTTTTGTTGAATACAACAAAGTTTTATATTAAATAAAAATAAAAGATGAATATGAATTTATATATATAAAATATCTCTTATAATAAAAAATCTTTTTAAAGAAATATTAAAAACAAATCCATTGAAAACTTAAAATTTAATGTCTGAAACAAGTGATAATAATAGTGTAGGATCCATCTATATCCAGCCTCGGTCATATGATAACCATCCCAGCTAGCATACTGTGATGGATCATCACAAGCAACCACCCCACACTTTGGAAATATCATTGTATTGTAAGGATCAACTCCACATCAAACTTTCATAACATTTCCACCATATATGTTATATATGATATCTTTCTTTGGTTTCAGTTCAAGCTTTGGATCGGATTCCACTTACCAAGATGGTACACATACATTAGCATTAGCAGTATTCTTAATTTCTTCAACAATCGGAGTCATTATTTCTCAAAGTGATTTTAATATTTTTTATGAAAAATAATGATTTCACACCCTTTTAAAAATAATAATCTCACTTAACAATCCACTTAAATAATATAATAATGTATATTAAATTTTTAAATTAAAAATAAAATAAATACTATTAAAATAATATTCTTTTCAACTGATAGGTGAGTTTTTTTATTTGGTGTCAACATATCACCACTCATTTTATATGAGATCACAACAAATTTCTCATTAAAAATCGTGCTAGATATGTTTACTTTTTTTGTGTGGGTTTAAGGAAAATATTTAAATATTGTTCTAATTAGCAAATATACCTCAAAGCTAAAACGTTCAAATTTTCAATCTTCACTTCATTCTTCCCTATTTAACTTAATGTTTAGGAAATATTTCGGTATGAATATGTTTTTATTTATTACTGTCTAGATTCAATGTATTTATTATTATAAATGCTCCTTTAATAACAGTAATTTAAAGGTTAAACCGAAGTTCCTATATCTGTTAGGTTTTCTTAAATAGTTATTTTTTTATTTTTTTTCCAATTGGAATGAGAAAATATTTTATGTAAGACCTCCTTTTATGCTAGGTATTAAAAATATTTCACGTCTGACAGTTCTGAAAGAGTTAACCGTTAACTCAATTTAATAATAGGAAGTCGATTATTTTAATTTTTCATTTTTAGAAATCCAATTAAAAAACACAAGAAAAGGACCTATTTAAGAAAAATTAATAATACTGGAGAAGTGATTTAACCTAATTAAAATGTTAATAGTAATATGAATGTCAGATGAATAAAATACCCACAGAGACTAATACTACAAAACAGTAGTTAATGCATAAAAAAAATTAATTAATCAGATTTACAATGATTTTTTTTATCATTACCTTTTATTGAACAAATAAAAGTTTTGATACTATATAAACCATAACAAAATACTTAAAAGGTACGTGTATAACCATAATTTACATTAGTCAAACACAGGGAACTAAACTGAGGGAAAGAATATGGCCCTTTTATAAAAGCTTGAGCGATTAATTTATAAGCAGCTTCAGATAAATGTTTTCCATCCCATCCAATATACTTAGAAGGATCATCACAAGCATTCACGCCTGGATCACCACACTGTATTGATACATTGAAATTGTATGGACCTCCCTTTCCACAACATGCTTTAAGAGCAATAAGTCCTGCATACCAATCAAAACTATATCATTTGCTTTCATGAAGTATGAAGATGCATTATCTAACCACTTTCATTTCTTCAAATATTCCTTCAATTTGTTACCAAAGTATATCAAACAAAGATAAATGTGCTGTGCTCAAGTATGAATGCATGAAGAAACATATTTTTGAATAAACTTCTATCAGTAAGAATTGGGAAGAATGAATTACCAAATTTTGCAGGACGACGATATAAAGTCATTGCAGCATTGTAATAATCAACATAGATAATATTAACGTGAGGATGAAGAGCTCGAAGCTTATTTAATTCAATTTGGAGTTCATGGTTGTAATATTCAGCAAACTCGTTTAACCACTTCAAGCATCCAAATTTGTCATATTGCTTCTCAACTTTGGTTTCATAAATTGTTAAATATATTACTCTACATCCAAAAGGGAAAATCCCAGGAACCATGAGCGTGCGAGCCCCTAAACCAATCAACTCCTGTAAAGGAAAAAATAATTACAAGCTAAAATAGAAAATATAAGTTAGAAATTATAAAGCAAAAATAAATAAAAGACTTTAGTTAATTCCTCGGAGTTACATATGCTATTACCGCTTTAAAAAAATCAACAAATTAAGCAAATTGCATAATTTTACGCCAATGCATTCAATAGTTTTTCATACAAAGAATCTATCATTGTACTAATTGACGTACTACAACAAAAATTTGAGTTTGTAACCACAAAAATTTGTTAATAAAGTAAAATTATTAACGGTCTAATGACGATTAAAAATTTGTCGATAAAATATAAATTGATAAGTTATAAAACATATCAAGAAATTTATTAGTAATTATCAAAGGTAAACAATTCGTTGATAAATACCATCGATATGTATCGGTGATTAAAGTTGAATATTATTTTATCTGTAAAATTCATCGATAAATATTTGTTGATAATTAATAATAATTTTTTTTCATAAATATCACGATTTGGTCATTTTCTCTTTATTATCTTCTTTCTTTATTCTTTCTCTTTTTCTCCTTCTTCCTCGCTCTCCTCCTACTAATGTTGGTCAGTCGTTATTATTCGTCATTGTGGTTGTCATTACAACTATGCTTCCCATCATTAGTTCCTCCATTTCATTCTTCTCCATTCATCTTCCTTCTCTTCTATCGGTGCCTCAATCTCAACATTGTAATTGTTATCATCGCCTCCTCTACCCTTTTTTCCTCATTATTTTTATTTTCTTCTTCTTATCATTTATCTCCTTTTAATTTATAAAACACAGTTATAATCAAATTTGATAGAGAAATGGACTCCCATTTTTCTAACGAATTTATCGATGAAACAAATTTTAAAAACTTTAATTACTAGTAGATTTTCAAGATTTCAACTACAGATTTCAAAATAAGTAATTATAAACAAATTTTACAAATTATATATAAAAAGAATAACTTTGACGCTTATTTTAAAAAAGAAAATTTACAAAGAAAATTATTTATCAATAATAAAAATGTTGCATTTCTACTGAAAATATTTACCTGTAATTAAAATCCTCAAATTTATTGGTAAAATTTATTGACAAATACTATTTTACCGCGATAAATTTTTTTTGTCTACAAATTCTATTTTATTAATAATTTATCTTTTTGTCGATAAAATTTTGTTAATAATATAATATTATTTTGTAGTGAACCACATACTTAAAATAAAGGATTAAATTGATGATAAAGATTTTTTTAACCTATAACTTCACAACACATCTCAGAAGAAGTAAAGAAAAATAACTTTTTTGTGAGAATAATTTGGGGACCAAATTTTTTCGAAGATTGACGTGATTATATATATATATATATATATATATATATATATGTTATACATAAAATTGAATATTATGTGAAATAATTTAAACAATTAACGTATTTTGAGCCAAACTCATGTGCAATTTTATTGCAAAATTGAAATTAATTTGGTTAAAGCAAATTAGAATCTTACTTTGGTTATTGAAGATACTGTATTGATGACATTAGGCACATACGATTTAACTTCTGCTATGCTCTTTCCTACAACCAAAGGATGATTGAAATCGTTTCCACCTATTTCACCCACAAGAAATAATGAGTTCTTAACCTCTTCATGGCAACCTGCAAGATTAAACATTAATTAAAAATCAATAATAACAAAATGAATTATGATCTTGTTGGATGTCATGAAACAATAACTGTCTTTCCTTTCTATACACTTGTGTTTTCCTCCACATGCATGTAGAATATAAAAGACATTACGTGATACAAAAGTAATAATATAGAAAGTGGTAAAGAAGCATGGATGAAGCATTTCCCACTAAATTATGTCTGTATATCCATAACATATTACTGCATTAAGACAATTTTACATCTTGTAAACTGCTCTACATGCATGAACTTCGATTTTTTTTGACAAAAGTAATGATAACTGGATGAGAAATTGTCGCGAACACCTTACACGTATTTAATTTCAATAAAAAATATGAGATAAATCATACATATAATAAATTGTGCGAGATTCTCTTAAAGTTGGATGAAGGCTGATTGGTTGAGTAAGAGTAACAGAAAAACTTACTTTGGGAAGAAGAATTGCAAAGAGTAGAAAGCAGTTCCTTAAACCAAGTGAGTTGAACTGACAAAGAATAATTGGTATTGACAGGAATGCCTCTCTGTTGAAAGAAGGTTGAGTCCATCGCCGTCGCTCCTGCAACTGCAAAATTGGCTCCTCCGTCTTTCCAACTCCATCCACCACCAATATTCTTCTTTTCCAGATACGGTTTCACCGATGGAATCCCAAGAAACTCAGCTATACAACAACAACAACAATAAAAAACATCTCAAATATAATATTTATGTATAAAAAGAAATAAGGTGGTTAGCCATGAAAACCCTGGCCACCTAACACGGCACAAATACATATCCATTTATCGAGGAAGAAGACATTAATATAAAATTTTACAGATTGCAATGAAAGAGACGTTGAATTATTTTATTAAGTCCTAACTATTCATTCCAACTCGGATCACTCTCGCACCACCACAAACTTTTCCAAGCGTTTTCAACGTGTTATATTCAAGTAATCCAAAAGTTTCAACGTATGGTTCGTATTGTTCAGTAACATGTGCATTCCGATTAGACACTCTCCCGTACAAAAGTGAATTCCTTTTAGCATTTCAACAAAATTAATTATCTAAATTATTTTAATAATTAATTGATAAAACCTGTTTACTTAAAAAAATTGTGTATAAACTATTTTTAAGTTACAAGAAAATGCTTTATCATGTTTTTTCTTTTATCTATGTTCTCCAAGTATAATATGAAAGGAATTATTAAGATGAAAGGCGATGGAAAAAGGGAAGTGTTACCGATGAAATCGATGATGAGACGACCATCGGAGCAGCGTCCTGTGACATTGTGAAAGAAGGTTTCACCGTAAGGAGGTAAGAAGCAGTTGTCGGAAAGCGGTGGTGAGCTGAGATAGAGGTTGCCGGTGTCGGCGAGGGAATCACCGAAGCTGAATATGGAGGAGTAAGGGCATGATTCTGATGTTGAAGAGGTTAAAGAAAAAGAAGTTAGCAGCATAAATGCTATCACTATAATCCTAACTCGCCTCATTGGAATTCTATCTTCCCCATTCATTCCCAAACATATATTTATATAACTTGGTCACGCTTTCTCTCACATAATCATGACTGCGATTAAAATAGCTTCACACGTCATCTTTAACTTGATATTTTCTTGTTTAAACTCGGTTATTTGAATACCAAATTTATATAGTTTAAGATTATTTTTTATGAATATTTTCATGCCTACTTTTTTTTCTTTTTCTTTTTTGTAAGATTTTTTTTGGCAACTAAACAAAATTAAATATATGAGAAGAATAGGATCTTGACACATTTTTATATTTATTTGATATATAGTATAAAAATAAAATGATTATAAAAATGTGAATATTTTTATTTTTTCAATAAAAGAAAATGATAATATTAAATAAATGTAAAAAAATTAGGTAGATAAAAAATATTTTTCAACATTTTTTAGTAAATGTAGTTAAACAATAATTGTTTAACTGTCAACGTATACGTATAAGAAGTAATTCTCTTGAGTATTTTTGTGAAATTTATTTTTTTCTTTTTGGCATCTCTACATGTACAATTATATGAAAATGAGATGTAATAGAAAATTTTAGTATGTGAATTTTACTGTTTAAATTTCTTTGTCTTTTCTTACTATTATAAAAGTTTTAAACAGTTTACCAATGTATTAGGTTGGCAACAAATGATGATATTTTTGAAAAGAATGTAATTATATGACGTGGTTTATAAAACATTCGACTGCTTGTTATATAGGTCGTTTCCGGTACTTATAAAAATATAATAGTAAAATATATGAAAAGCACATAGGCCATTCTTTAATTTAAACTGTGTTAGTTATCAAAATTTATCATTAATTAAATTTTCTATAAAGCAAATGATGCGACATTGTCTATAAACGATAATTTTAAAAAAAAGTTTAATGTTTCAATAGGTCCCTATTTTTGTTCAGAATTTGAAATAGGTCTCTTTATTTTTTGGCGTCTCAATTGGATCCTTATTTTTGTTAATTTGATGCAAATAAATCCTTTCCGTCAATTTCATCAAACGCGTTAATGAATGTGTGACGTGGCCTGAGGACAGTATTGACACGTGTAAGGCCACGTCACACATTCATTAACGCCGTTTGATGAAATTGACGAAAATGATTTATTTGCATCAAATTAACAAAAATAAGGAGAGGCCAAAAGATAAAGGGACCTATTTGAACAAAAATAGGGATCTATTAAGACATTAAATCAAAAAAAAAGTTATGCTTTGAAAATACAAAACTAACGAATGATATGAGATTAATTTTATGTTTTATGAAATTAAACTATTTTTGCGATTAATTTATGCTTTGAAAGATTTTATGATTAATTTATAAAATACGGAACCTATTTTTGGAGCTATAAGATTTCTCCCCATAAAATGCATTCAACAAAACACCAAATTAAAACATAAAAGGGACACCGTTTGATGATGTGTTTTTTAACTGCAAAAACGTATGCTAAAAGCAGAAGGGGGACCTTTTGTTAGTCACGTCATTTATATTGTATCTTTTGTGTTTTTATTTAAATTTAATTTTATAAAATATAAATTAATTTTAATTAAATTTAACTTAATAAAATATAAATTAAATTTTTATTTTTTACAGATAACGAATGTCTGTACAAATAGTATAATACTCACATCTTACCCATTTTTATATGAATATTAAAATATTCACTACCAATAATTTACAGATAATAAATATTCACGAATAGTAATTATTTGTTACAAATGTTATCCACGAGCAGATTTTTTTTACATCCCTTAAGGCTACGAGAGGAAAAGGAAATGCACAACAAAATTATTGTAAGTGTAACTAAACCAGATGAGTGAATGAGAAGTGACAAGAGTGAACAACCATAAGAGAGAAGTGAAAGGTAGATAATGGTCGTTGTAGTATTAGGTGGAACAGAAACAATAATTGCAATTCAGTTTTATTTTTCTTCTTTAACTTTCATATTATCAATAAATTAATAGATGAAAATATCAACAAAATTGAAATGATTTAATTATAGATAAATTTTTAAAATAAATAATTATCCACAAATTTTATTAATTTAAAATTAAAGTAATAATTTTAACTCTCATTTTATTAATAAATTTTACAAACAAAATTATTTATTAATAATAAAAATGTTGTACTATTGACAAATTTAATCAATTGATAATATTTATTAATAATTAAAATTTTCAAATTTATTGATAAAATTTATCTATGAATTTTATTTTACTGATTATTTTTTTTGTCTACAAATTCTATTTTATTGATATTTTTTTTTGTCGGTAAAAATTTGTTAATTAAGTAGTGTATCAAATAACTTAAAATAAAGGATTAAATTGATGATAAAAAAAATAACCACTAACTTGACAACAAATCTTAGAAGAAATAAAGAAAAATAACTTGAGTATTTCATCTGTCCCTTCAAAAATTTTATGTTACACCTCCAAATTTTTCAAAAATTATTGTTATACCCCAATTAAAATATTATTAATTATTAATGAAATGAAAAGAATCTTTGACCGTTCTTAACAGTTTTCTCTCTCTTTACTACTTTTTCTCTCCTCACTTCTTTTGCTTTCTTTATCTATATATATATATATATATA